AATCACCATTGGTAGCGCGATTTATTGTAATGCTTTTTTCCTCAGTTGGTCAGAACAAACGTGGCAGACTTGTTACTTACTTGTTCAGATGGCAATATACAGTGAAAATTATTATTTGGGTCATATTCCAAGACATAGGCTAGAATCTGTGATTGCGAAGTACAGTAAATATCCACACCGGTGCGGTGACTGACTGCCACACATACACTTCAGAACATTAGATTCATTCGCGCTGGAGCCGTGCAGACTTACAACCCACGCAAGCTAGATAATTCCGCACACAGCTGCAATTCCAGGTTTTCAAACAGAGATGGTGACAAAGAGGCAAAACTTACGGACTGCAGTTTTAATATAGCAATTGACATTTTATTGTTGTAATGCCTGTTTGTGATCTTTTTATTGCTATGTTGCACTTGTACTTTGTATTGTGTGAAACGTTGTATAATTTGATTTAATACAATTCTATATATAAATTCTCTAGATCTATCTATCTATCTATCTATCTATCTATCGTATATAAAATATATTCTTAAATATTTATTCCAAAGGTCCAGCAATGGATCCATCTGTCCTTAGGGATGTCACATCATGTTTCAATTGCTAATACTTCGTCTAGACCTTGAAGATTTCTTCTTCATCTACATTTTTCTTTTCTGTTTCTCACTAAAGGTAATCTGAAGGCAAGAAGAGAAGACATCAAAACATAGCCGAAATGAAGTGGCGTCACACCATATACAATACCGAAGTGTCACACAGTTGAAAGGAGTTGTCTGACATCAGATATTTCTTCAACTACCCATTTCGACCACTTGTTCAGTATGCCTCTGTACGTCCATTGCATGTGCATGTGCTTTCGGTCTGGGCTCCTGGGTGTCCATCAATGGCTTGTGGGTGGAGCTTCCTCTGATAGTCAATGTTCTGCCGGAGGGTTGGGATTTACCCTCGTACCTCACAGTCATCATTCAGCTTGCCAACTTAGGTCCTCTGCTGGTGACCCTGGCACACAAATTCTGTCCCGGGCGACTACGTGAAAACCTGGTCATCTATGCGGTCTTGTCAGTTGGTGTTGTAGCTTGTATCTTGCTTGCTGTGTTTTGGAAGAACACCACCGTGATCCTCGGGCAACCTCATAGCACAGCATTTTTCATTCTCACGTTTTTTCTTGCTCTAGTTGACTGCACCTCATCCGTCACCTTCCTGCCATTCATGATGCAACTTCCGGCCAAATACATCACCACACACCACCTTGGAGAAGGTCTGAGTGGTCTGGTTCCAGGGCTGGTGGCGCTGGCGCAAGGAGTCGGGATGTCGAAATGCGTCAATGTGTCGCACGTGTCGGATAACCTTACTGAGCCCGAACCCTCAACCTTCATCATGGAGACACAGTACCTCCCTCCTAATTTCTCCACTGAGATTTTCTTCTCCTTCCTGGCCTTAATGACAGCAATAAGCCTGGGTTCCTTCATCATATTAAACCATCAGCCTCGTACATTTGAACTATCCACTGAAAATCTCGTCCAAGACTTAGATGCTATCGCAACAGTATGCAGGGGTTTGGAGGGCCCCGTGGACCCCAATCCAAAGACATACAGTCCAGAAGAAGAGGAAAAACTGAGAAACAGAGTTCTGCTTCCTAAACCGCTGCACTCCGGCTATCAGCTGGCGTTTATCTATTTTATGGTTCTGTGGGTGAACGGTGCAACAAACGGACTGCTGCCCTCAGTGCAGACGTTCTCCTGTATGCCATATGGAAATATGGCCTATCACCTGTCAGCTGCTCTGTCGGCGGTAGCCAATCCAGTG